CAACATCCAGAAGGAGTCAACTCTGCACCTCGTGCTGCGCCTCAGGGGAGGGATGCAGATCTTCGTGAAGACCCTGACTGGCAAGACCATCACCCTGGAAGTTGAGCCCAGTGATACCATTGAGAACGTGAAGGCCAAGATCCAGGACAAGGAAGGTATTCCCCCTGACCAGCAGAGGCTGATCTTCGCTGGGAAGCAGCTGGAGGATGGGCGCACCCTGTCTGACTACAACATCCAGAAGGAATCCACCCTGCACCTCGTGCTGCGCCTCAGGGGTGGCTATTAAAGTTGTTGTGTATCTTGCTTGGCAATGCCATTGCCTGTGGTTCCTGTGTTTGCACTGTAGTTCTTTTAATGTCTTAATTTTAAGTTAAATGCAAGGGTAATGCAAGCTTGAGTAACTGCTGAACAACTGTCTGTTGAAATGCTAATAAAGTTTTCTGTTGCACATGACAACTTGTCTGTCTCAGTTCAAGTGAGTAAAAGTGGTGTAGTCAGTGAAGTGCTTTGGCCTTCTCCCATAGCAGTTTAAGTCTCTCTGCATGTATAATGAGGACCAGCCTTGTGGTTAAAATGGATCTGGATTAAAATTTTAATTTAAGCATTAGTACCATGTTGTTTCTTCTTCTAGAGTTTAACAAAGCTATTTCCAGGAGGGATATGGTCTTTAAAGGCCCAGAAAGCCACAGTGAGCAAAGGGTTGTAGTGGTCAGTGCACTGGGGTGGGTGTTAGTCCTGTGCAGTGGGTGTGAAGGGTTCAGTGCCTGATGCTACCAGGAACTGAGTTACTGTGCTAGCTGAGCAAACAGGAGTGGCTTGGGGTGGGTTTTGACATGGAAAACTGGCAGTGACATGACAGCAGTACAGCTGCCTGGTTGCAGTGAGGGTTTACATGATCATTCAGTGCCCAAAGGGAGGGAGTTCCCACTAAAGCTCGGGTTGTCCCTTTGGTGGTGTTTCTTTTTAATGGGGTGGGTTCAGGAAAACCACCCAGATGTGCTGTGGTTGGGCTGGTTTAGTCCATGGCACTGAGGGGTGTGTAATCATCCTGTGCCTTCCACAGAGACTCACCTGGGCCCTGGGGGTGGTGGATTTTGATAGCTGCTCACTGCAGTGGGAGGCTTTGCCACTGAGTGCACAGTGACTCTGCTGCCCTTTTTACTGACAACTGTGCACTGTGCTGGTTGACTTTTTGTTCACTAGTGCTGCTGAGGAAGTTTGTTCCTCTTGAGTTTCAGCTTTTGGTGCAACATCACTGAGCAACAGCTCAGACCTGACTTAGGCAACCACAGCTTGTGTGACACTGTGTGTGCCCATGTGCTGCTTTCCCCATCCTTGCAGGGAGATTTCCTTAGGTGAGGCTTGTGCTGGGAGTTAACTGCACTTCACACAGGCCAAGAAGTTACTGTTCTCATAGAAAATCACATGTTTGTGGCTCAGTTCAATGTGGTTTGATGGTTATAGCTCTGATTGGTTTCTGGGGTTTTGAGATACTTTTTAGCAGCTAGGTTTGCTTCCTTGTCTGCTCTGAAGTTCTTTAACCATTTGCTGTCTCTATTATAAGAGATACTTCCCTTAGTTCATTTGAATTTTCCTGCAATTTGCCTTTATTTGATTTTATGCCTCTTCCAATGCAGCCACCTCAGCAGGTTGCCCACAGAGGTGGTGGAGGCTCCTTCCTAGGGGAGATGTTCAAAGGCCATGGAGAAGAACCATGGAAATGGTTCTGGGCAATCACCTCTGGGTGGTCCTGGTTGAGCAGGGGAGCTGGACAAGGTGATTTCCAGAGATCCCTTCCAACCATCTCCTGTCATTTGAGCAGAGTGTCTAGCTCTGTGCTGTGTTCAGTCCTGTGTGATGTCCCTGAGCAGTTCACAGTCCAGAGATAACATTCCTTACCACTTTCTGCTGCTGATTGGCCCCATGGTAAAACTGGCTGCTTTGCCTTTGGCTTGTACTGGATGTCCTTCCTCAAGTTCACCTAAAAATGGAGCTGGGCTGTCTGGTAAGAGCTGCAAACACTGGCCAGGTAATGAGGGCTGCAGGTATGATATTTTAGCTACAAACCTACACCTGGCAGCTCTGTTCCCAGAGTCACTGCAGCAGAGCTGCTCCAGTGTGGTGTGCCCAGGCCCACCAGGCAGTGTTTGCTGCAGGTGGTTTTGTGCAGAGCTGTCTCTGGGGTTGCCCTGCAGGAACAGGGACCCTGAGGAGGTGACCAGAGGGGTCTGCAAAGCCTCCAGTGCTCCCTCTGCTTTTATCCAGCCTGAGCCAAACTGATGCTGAGCCACAGCCTCTGCTGGTACCTGGAGTGTTCCCACGTGGGGATGGTCCATCAGCAGAGCCATGTGGAGTCTGTTTTGGGCTGGTGTCACACCTGAGGTAAAGAGCAGTGGGAAAAGGGGAGAATGTCAGGCATTTGTGGTTGTGGGGAACAGCTCAGACCTGACTTAGGCAACCACAGCTTGTGTGACACTGTGTTCATGTGCTGCTTTCCCCGTCCCTGGAGGGAGATTTCCTTAGGTGAGGCTTGTGCTGGGAGTTAACTGCATTTGCCTTACTAGGAAGACCCAGACAGCACATCCCTAGAGGCAGAGCAGGGAATCCTCAGGGGCTGTGGTGGTGCAGCAGTTCTGGGTGAGGTGTGGGGGCAATCTGTGCTGGAATTCTGCATCCTTGGGGAGCTGTGTTCCCCTCAGCTGACTGAGGGATGGCAGCCACGAGCTGGGAGAGATGTCTGCAGGGATTTCTTCATTAGTGAACAAAAATCCTTGCCATTCGTTGTGAATTAGGGGAATTTATATACGTTATAAAGAAATGCAAATATGACTTTGCATAACACATTGTTTACATGGAAGTTATTCACAAAGGACAGAGATCAGGCAATACAAATGATTTGGGTTGATACACTTTTATTCTTACAGTGTGGTGGCACCTCAAAAATCTGCTTCAAGCCAATTATTCATAACTAAAACAAGACTTTAATAGGCTTGGCCAGAATCTATGTGCTCTTAGAATAATCCTAATGCTCCCATGGTGACTACAGATTCTGATTGTATCTTGTAGCCCTGCTGCCAGCTGAGCTTTGGGACTGGCCTTTGGCTTTTTTCTTGTTGCTTCAGTTAGTTTCTACTCTGATTTCTCTTTAAAAAACCCAACAACAAACAAAAAGCAAACCCACAAACAAAACCAGCCAAGGTTTCAGGGGGTTTGTCTTCTGTAAAAAGACAAATAACCCATTTTACTGACTTTTGGATGCTTTTGGTGGTGTGCTCTGGTAGCAGCTGCCCCAAAACGTAATCCTATAGGGAAAGGGAGGGTTAAGGCAGAAGAATATTGGGAATAAATCCCTCAGTATTTTCCAGCCTTGCTCACAGTTCCAAAGGCTGTGCTCCAAGATCCTTGGCTGCAGAGTTTTATGTGTATCATCCAAACCAGCCTCGTGTGGAACTTGAGTTTTAAAATCAGGCAAGTTTCTGTTAACCATTTCAATATACAGAAAGTGGGTGGTTACAATTCTCCCAGGTCTGTCTGTGCTTCCGAGTGATTTTTTTGGCATTTCCCATCGAGGCTGTCCAAGGCAGCAGGATCAGGTTTGCTCGGTGGCCGCAGGATGTCACTGTTCCTCCACAAACCTCTTGTTTTCCACCATCACCGTTGGATCTCCTGTTTTGCTGCTGTTTGATTGTCAGCAGAGCATTCCTACAGGCTGTGATCCTACAGAAAGGGATACATCAAGTAGAAAGATGCTTCCATTTTAGGAATAAGCTGGATGGTTCCTTCAAAGGCCTGAGAAGAATATAGATTGGAGCCTTTAGATGTTTTGATGTGGGACTAGCAGTGCCAGAAATACTGCCACGCAGATTAATTGAGTCTCCAGGGCTATCAGACAAGTTGTGACAGAAGATTATGTAAGAGTATTTATGTTTTAGATTGGGCACTGGTTGGTGTCTCTAGGGGTACAGGATTCCATCTGTGGAACTAAGTGATGAAGCTGCTAAAATCCATCACTTCAGCATGGCTTTTACACAGCAGTTGCATGGAAAAAAATACCAGCCAGGCCTTGCAAAAAACATGATATTTTCCCACGTGTGAAAGTATACCTGCAAAAGAAAGAGCTTTTTCTTAACTGTGTGGCTTTTTCCTTTTTCTACCTGTTGTAGGTCAGAGAACTTTAATGGTGTTTATCCTTACAGGTTTCTCCCCTCCTGTGGAGATGATCTTGAGCTGCTACACCCGAGCATGGCCACAGATCTATCCTGTGACAGAGTTAGACACATGTAAGCAACTTTGAACCTCTGTTCACAGCATACAGAACACTTGCTATTAATCATAGTATGTTTTTCAGTATTTGGTAAAAATAGGCACTTGGATGAACAGAATATTTTAGGAAATGTGTTTGTTTCCATGTTTTTCCTCATGCTTCCTTTTGCCTTCTGTTTAAACAGGTTCCAGTCATTGCATTTCCTGTCCTGATTTACTTGTGCTTCTTTATATTTTTTTATGAATTTACTTGATACTGTTATTAAATGAAGACTATTTGACTTCAAATTTCACTTAGTTAGGAGTTTGATTTCTGTCTTCCCAGATTTAAGGCTTCCACAGGACATGTCTCTCCTGTCAGGAGAAGCTCAGCACCATCAGGCACATTTTCATCAGTAAAGGAAGTACTGAGCAATTGTGAGGTTCCTTCTTGCTCCCCCCCAGAAAAGCCTCAAAAGACAAGAGGATCACATACTGCTCTTGAAAACTGAGGCTGGCAGACAGGTGAAATTCAGTTGCTGCTTTGATTCTCCCTACACTCTGCCTTGGGTAGCGTCAGGCTGGGTCTAACAGCTCTCAGCATTCGAAGTGCTGGTTGAGCATCACAACCAGCTCAGCAGGGCAGTGCCACAATCCCATCCCTGACCTCAGACGCTGCTGAGCACACGTTGGGGCAGATCTTGTCATTTCTTTCTGCCTTGCTTCTCCCTCCTCTGAAATGGGAGTGTTTACCCTCGGTGTGTGCACATACCAGTGTCTGTGTTCCCCAGCAGCTCTGTGTTTCTGTTCTGCTGTGGTGACCTCTCAGCTGGCAGGGATTCCTTTCCCAGCGAGCTGCACATTCTCCTTCCTCCCTGTAAGCTATTCAAACCAGATGTGCAGCAAGAACTGTTATGGTGCACTTTTTGTGGGCTGATTTCATTCCCTGGCTACAATGGTAAGCTGCTTCCCATGAGAGCTGGGGGAGAAGCCCAAGACGATTTAAACCCCTAAGTCTGAGCTAAACTCCTGGGCCTGAATCTCTGTTGATATCACAGTAAATCAAGTGTAGCACAACTACAGCAAACTGAACTAAATCAGTATTGAGTGAGGGATAGGACTGATGAGATCTGGTCTGGCATTTATCTCCATATGTTTGTTCTTTTAGGCTGTTCTAGTGGGTCTTAATAAATCATTAAGAAATCATCATGGCAAGAAAAAGCAGCTTTGCCTCATTCCTGGTTCAGCTGCATTTTCAAAAACACAGGAATCTGAGAAACAAGCTTGTAATCTCAAGCAAAAGCATGAAGAGGAAAAGGCACCGTGCCATTTAATGGGTGTATTTATAGGAAGG